TAATATTTTTCATTCTTATTATTTAAATGTATATGCCACTAAATTCCCAACAACTCTGTTGGATGGTGATACATGTTTATATGTTTAATTTGTCATCTACAACTCAGTTCCTAACTTGTAATGGAAGCCACTACACCATTACAGCTATCTGTGGGTTCTAGTCCTGCCTTAGGGATGAAGCTGGTTGGGCGACCTTGGGCCAGTCACTCTCTCTCAGCTCTTGGAAGAAGAAAGGGCAAACCACTTCTGAAAAACCTTGCCAAAGAAAACTGCAAGGACTTGTCCAGGCAGTTGCCAAGAGTAAAAAAACTGATTCAAAGGCACAAATAATAAAAATGGAAGCCTTATAAAAATATTCATTCTAGAAGATCCATTCTACCCCATTACAGTAGGATAGCAAGGAACTTGATGGCATAGGTAGGAAGTTGTATCCCACTAGGACCTTCCTACTTTTTGTCAACTATTTTTATGGGAGAAGATTGCACTAATGCTGAGATATTTCCTGGAGGAAACTGAATTTGAAGCAGCCCAGATTTTTCAAGAGGAAGTGGCTCACCTATTAGGCATAACAAAATACTATATTGATTCTTCATGAGTTAACATAGCAAAATTAACATAGCTTGGCACAGCAAACAATCATGCTGTTTGTTTTTTTACAAATTATGGCAGGTTTGGTTGCCTACTTGGACATGCTTGGCTGTGATTGTCCAGGTTGATTAAGGATGCCAGGCAACATATGACAGTTCTGGCATTTGATAGCGTAGGACTGTTCTGAAGCAGAATAGATTATAAAATGGTCTGGATTCAGAAAATGAAAAATAAGGCTTGCCACATAGGTCTCAGTCTTTTAACTATGGAAGGCTTCAGCCATGGAGATGGGAGTCAATTTTCAGCAACCAAGTTGGGGTACTTTTAGTTTTCATCTTAACAAGAATAGGAATCTCACAGAAATGTTCCCAGTTCTCCACATTTTCCCAGTCAGCTTTGAGGAAGCATCATTCATTTCAGGGGCAAAGATATTTGGGGATAAAAGTATAAAATGATGTTGTTGTTGTTATTTGTTGTTGTTAATTTTATGTATACAGTATGCTGTTTTCCTCTCAAAGGGGATTGGGTGATTTGGCTACAATCACTTCATCTTTTGTACAAACTTTTTTTTTTCAATTGTTTGTTCCAGATTTTTGGGTCCTTCAGATCATCTATGTTGGCAATACCCTGGCATTCTGTGACCCATATCAATCTGCCATTTTCTCAGGGCTCTTGTATCAGCACCCCTCAAGGCCAAAATCTGAAAGTTTTTGTCAGAAGAGGTAATTGAGTTACTTCCATGCCTGGAAATGATCACTGGTTCCTAATCCAAGTATTTCACAATTCTCAAGATGATAGACCTTGTTTTTTCTCTTGTATTTCAGTGATTTTATCTAGCCATGTCTGTCCCATAAAGTGATGATGTACTTATTCTTCCCTTTTCCTGCTTGCCTACAGAGACCGGTTTGCCTAAATAGTTCTCTGGAATTCCTACTTCCATATGAACATTTGGCGAGATCACTGGAGATTTCTCTGTTTTCCTGTAGGAGATTGGCTGTTGCAATTCAAGGCCTTTATCTATTGATGGCTCCAAAAACTTTATGAAGTACGTGGCCATTGTATTCTGGTATTTCCATCTCTAAAGTCTGCACATCTTTATACAGTATTTGTACAATTGGCTCACTCTTTGTGGCACCATCTAGAAACCAGATAAGCTTGGATATCGTTTTTATGTTAAAGAGTCTTTCTGCTTTCAATCTTTCTCTAAATTTGGAGTCATCATCTCTGACTCCTCCCAATTTTAGGGCTTACTCTCTTCTGTTTGGGGCATATTCCTTGATCCAGCACATTTCATCTGCAGGATAAAGTGTTTACAATATAGAAGTCAGTACATGAGTTTCACATAGTGCCATGTCAAACTCTGTGTTGGATTCAACAGCTGTCACAATATATGTTGGCCACAACCATGTTAATAGATTATGTTCTTCTACAGATACAGCATCAATGGTTCCTTCACTGCTTTCCAGCTCCTTTTTATCCTCAAGCAAATTACCCATTCCAGCTCCACTTCAAACTTACCTCCAATGTTAGATTCATTCCAACAGCTTAACCCAAGATTTTTCTCTCAGAGCCTCTATCAAGCTCCTCATAATGGATATGTCTTTAGCAAGTTGGAGAGTTCATTGTTATGGTCTGATTATAAATACCAAATGGTCACAGTTGGTGATCCTTCAGTGTAATGGAGCTTCTGGTGGTATGGAAAGCCCTCAAAACGTTTTAGGCTCTTGACTCAGTGGTACTTAGCCACTGACAATACCATTCTTTTATCTGAACCAGCACAAAATCTCTAAAAGTTATCTTTGCATACTTTATCATACATTGGTATTTTAAGTTGACAAGGCACTGATCTAGAAGAATCCACATTTTTTTGGCAATGATTTGCCAAAAAGGGCTTATTGGTTTTGTTGCAGTGAATGTATAGCAAGTGATTTAATTATCATGTCCACTATATAATCTTCCTCTGTCAACACATTGTAGGATGCTGTCATGCTAGCTGTTCCCTCATCTGCTGCAGCACTCCTGGATATGCCATGCTTTGACATCTGTAAAGCTCTTCTGGCTGCACTGGCAACCTTTATAAAGCATTATCAATTGAAGGATGCATTTGGATGGGTAGAGTTGTCTTCACAGGCCTTATCTACCACCTGAAAGTAAAGGTTGCTACCTACCCTATTGTGATTGTGTAGCTGTGGTTCTTTGAGTGATGATCTGTGATCTGGGCATTCATGTGACCCCCTTTCCATCCTGTGTAGTTAGTCATTCCACTATGGCTGTTCGTGCTGGCCTCAAGGAACTCAGGTAAAATAATGGTAGCTTTTCAGAACATTCACATGGTAGAGGGGCACACCAAAATCAGCTTAGCTCTAGAATGTTCTGAACTGGATTGTACAAGCACATGAACACCTTAATATGTGAATGCATTGATCGTCTCTCAAAAGACCAGAGTAACAGGTCAGCAAAACTTGTTCTTTTTACAATATCTTGTTGCGGAATTTAGAGCTTTAGTCAAGGAAGTAGAGGGGTGGGAGAGAGAAACTTTGAAGTTACTAATCAGTGCAGGGGTTGGCATCTTTTTCAGATGGCCTAGATGCATTCCTCCACAAAACTAAAAACAACCCTCCCAACATCTGACAATTTTTTATCCCATTTACCACCAGTATCTTGTCCGAGGACACTGAAGTCACATTAGATTTCAGCTTTCATACATAAGTTCAAATGGAAAAACACCAAAATCTTGGGTGATTCACTTTTTTCACAAAATCTCAGCCTTTTTTAAAAAGTAGAATTTTTATTTGTTTTGGGGAGTCTGCCAATACTGTCTAGGAGTGTGATAGACAATGTTCAGTTGGCCCTCATCTGAAGAATCTGTATGCAATTTTTTAACATCAATTTTCTTAAGTTCCTACTCTTTTTCTTCCAATCCAGGCATTACTTCAAACGAGTTATAGTGGCTGCCCGAACTAAGAATGCCCATCTGGTGCTGAAATGCTTCAAGGACATCCCTCTGGAAGGTCTGGAGCAGCTGCTGCCATCTGTCAAAGTCCGCACCTCCATCTTCTACAGAGCTCTCCTCAATACCATGCTGATGGTGAGCGGCTTGGCCCTCTTTGTCAACGTGGGCATGGTGGTGCTCTCAGACCTCAAGATAGGCACCACTACCCTGCTCTTCTTCTTTGCTGCCTTAATGGCCTTCCGGGCCTGGAAGGTAGGTTAGTCACCAGTGTTTCCAGAAGCTCAAAGCTGTGAGCCAGCAAATATCCTGTTCAGACCTTAAATGTAATTAAATGCAGTAATATAATGTTTTAATAATTTTCCCCTTTCTGTAACATGAACAATTATCATTCATTGGCAATTCTTGAAGGAGCTCTTGGGGGCTCTGGACTAGGGAGATGAAGAGGCATGATTATCCTTGTAGGAGCAAGCTTAATTTAATTGAGGTTCTTCTAGGGCAGAAAAGAGGCTTGGCTTCTATCCCATACAGCTGTCAAGAGCTTTATGGCAGAACACATGTCTTCTGCTTAAAGGAATCTCATGTGGCATGGCTGGAAAAGCTCTTTTTCTTTCAATGTGTGGAGAGCTGCTGCCAGACAGACAGCACTGAGATAGAAGGTCTCTAACTTCCTGTATAAGGAAGATTTATGTCTTCCTGCAGACCTTTTGGCTTTGTTTGAATAAATATCTGGGGGAGGGAGTGCAGACCTTGGGGATAATGTTTCTTGGGATAAAAACTGATAGCTGCAAAATACTCTTGATACGGGGGTAGGTAACCTTTTGAGGGCTTAGGCAATATTTAACTTTTGGGGTTGAGAGAGGTTACAGTGTGAAGGGTGATAAAGGCAAAGTAGACAGACAGTGTCATGCATTGGATGGGGCTAGGATTTTCCTTTTTTTTCAGGACTTTCTTTCAGGAAGCAGCAGGCTGGGGTTTCTCTGTGCTTTTTTAACAGTTAAATCTGTTTTAGAGTTTGTAATAGTTTTTGTGGTTCCTGCTCCAATGGCAGGAAATGATGCCAGCAATTTTCTCCATTCTTGTCTCCTAACTTCAGGAGTAAAGAGAGGCCACTAAAAGGGAGTCAGACTTTACCTGTTGCGCATCACGACCCGAAAGTATTGCACTCCCTTATTGGGAGTATCAATGAACATTCTGCTAGGATATCATAAGTATGCAGTGTCATTCCCATTATGTTACAGAGAGGTGTGTGTGCACACTCTGGTGTGCTTCCTCCAGGAGGCATGGATCTCAGCTTTCCTTTTGCTGTGTCTCTTGCACGTGTGACCCTCCCCTCCCCCAAACGTGGCCTCCTAAGGACTCAGATATCCTGCATTCTTTTGATAGGTCTTTGGCCAGCGGCGGAACATCCACTCTCTTGAGCTGGTGCATATGCTGTACTACCGCAGCACCTCCAACAACTCAGAGCTTTTGGATGCCCTCACTCTGCGGGCCCAGGAGGAGCACGCCAAGGAAGTCATCTTGGCCCACAGTTTCCTGCTGCGGTGCCATCCGCAGCACCAGCACCCCTTGCCAAAGGAAACAGGTGTTGAAACAGGTATTGTCTAGCTTTGATTCCTTGGGCTGGGATGGGGTGCCCGAAAGAAAAGGAGCCCTTCTCTGAGAATAGGCTTCAGCTCCAGTAAGGTCTCTGACTCATCCCTTTGTGTTTGCAGACTCCAAGCCTGTTGAACATCTGAGGGAACAGGTTGAGGCTTGGCTGCGCCTGCACTCTGGGCTGGAAATAAACTTCTGTGCCGAACGTGCCTGCAAGCATCTCAAGGAATTGGGAATTAGGGGAGCAGCCTATCCTGTCATTAGATAAGAGCTTCCTGGGGTTGTTTTAGTTGGTGTTTGGGACTCTAAATCAGCCTTGTCCCCACTGTCAAACCCGTGGTATTGAGCATGCCAAATTTTGAGGTCAAGAGGATGGAAACACTCATTTTTCCAAAACACTAAGAAAACAGTGCCCTGTGGTGTAATTACTCATGGCACATAGATGCTTGGAAGCTATTGGATTTCAGCTACTGAGATGTGCTTCCTTCAGCACCACATCTTCTTCCAGATATCCTGCTGGAAATGTAATGTCAATATGTGCATGCCATGAAAATACTATTTGGGGTACAACATTAAGCCTCATTTTACAAAGCCATAATGCACCTCAGATTCTCCTCTTTGCGGAGAGGGGTTTCTTGCTTTTAAAATATCCCAGCACTTTTTATTATACATGCTACTTTTTTTTTTGTTTTGAGCTGCTTTTCTTTCCCCAAGGAATGAGTGGAAGCAGTTTACATTTGAAATGAGCACTGTGCAAAGCAGTGAGTCTCTTTTGCATTTAGGGCAAGATGGGTTTTTAATATCATGAGCTATCCTGCTGGGGGCATTTCTGAAAAATATATTAACTCACTTCTATAGCACTTTGAATTGCATAGTGTACACTTAAAGTCATATTGCATGCTAGGCTTCCTCTCTTTATTTTTTTTGGCCAGTTTTACAGAGATTGCAGAGGTTGATGCTTCCCATGCTGTATGGTCTTGAACAAAATAGTAAATTAAGGCAGTGTGTATAGAAAGATTGCAGTAGGTAAGTTTTGAATTACTGGAAGAACAGATCCCCATTCCCCTCAGTTTTGTTACTAAAGCACACTATTGGGTGGGTGGGGGCTCCTCAGATTTGAAGACTAGGAATTTGCACATGGCTAAGGAATTCTCAGTTACAGGGGCAGGGAGTGCAGTGCTGGAAAACCAGGTCAGGAAGAGATCATCATGGGCAAAATCTATGTGGTTGCTAAGAGTTGACAATGATTTGATGGCACATCATCAAATCAAAGGAATTATTGGGTGCAAGAATTGGAATGATTTTGCTGCTTGTGAACATGTGAATCTGATCTTATTCTACCTCCATGGTGACTCCCTGTACTCCTGTCTATAAGGATCAGTAGTTTATGTATGTTCAACGCATGTGTGCATATACTTGGAGAAATTAGTTCTTTATTCTAAAGAATGTTCTTGGAACAGGTGCAGAATTGTTCACTGCTAGTTGTAAGACATGAGGCCTCTCCCACTTCCCTTTCCCACCTCCCTTTGTCTCAAGAGAGCCTCTATGTTCCCTGTGGAATTGCCACAGAGAAGCATATATCAGATTTGTATTCTGTCCACACAGTGAGATTATTACAGCAGCAGCAACCCAGAATTCTCTAGTTTCTGTTGAAAGCTCAATCATAGACATTTTTTGCATAAAGATGAGTGAGGCAAGTGCTGCTTACATGTACTCATCTGGTCTCAAGAGATCCAAAGGTAAACTCGTAGTAGTATGATGATTTAGTTGAGAACATTTCCACGCTGTTCACTTTGGATCCTTCAAGTAGACCAGTGCTGCTATCTACAGTTACCTATTTCAAGATGCTAACTGAGTAGCTGTTCCGTGCTGATACCTATCTGGATGGTGGTAGGAGAGGAGCCTCAGAACAGATGGCTTTAGCATGGCTTTAAGCCTGAGCTTATCATGCCCAGAATGAACACTGAGTCTGATTATCATCTTCCACCAAATGGGAATGCTGTCATAGTTTGTGGGAGATACAGAAATGTCTCTTTCTTTGGTGCAATAAATTTTTTTGTGCATCACTGCATTTTCCTCTCTTCACTGTGTCTGGTTTTGCATTGTTTACAGAAGTTTCCAACATTTGGAATTTTGGGAACGTGTTGGGGTACTCTAGCAAAATGTCAGTTAAAGGCTTGCCTACACATAGTTGCTGTGAGGGACAGAATCAGTAATTCAATAGTACCTGTCATCTCTTTCTAGTCCCCCCCCCCCGATTTTTGCAGGACACTTGCTATTACCGTTGCCTAGCTTTGCCCTTTTTCTGGCCCAGGGGACATGCTTTGAAACAAACCATTCAGCTGCAATTGCCTATTGCTTTGTTTTCTGAGAAAGTTGTGGGGATCATCTGTGGCCAAGAAGCATTTTTTGGAAAGTAACCTGTCATAGGCTTGCATGTGAATGGCAGATGCAGTCCACCTTCCCTTCAGCTCTCAGAGAAGAGAGACAGATGTACTTTTGTATAGAGATATTTCTCTGACAGCTCAAGGGAAGATGGACTTAAAGCCATTCTAAAGCATTTCTTGTTACCCCCAAGCATCAGTACCTGGATAGCTTTTAAAGCTAATGGATTGTATGTAGTCATCTAAAGCGTGAAGGTCTGTGAGTTCAATTCCTGGTAAAGGGTTTGAACCTCAGAGTAACATCTGGCTACCCACGTCTGAAGAGTCTCAATAAAGATGAAACTGATCATGTGGCCAGTTCTGTGAGTTGGCAGGTACTCAGCCCCCAAATCCTTATTTATTAGCTGTTATACTAGAATTTGACATCTGGGCAAAACAATGATTGTTTTCAAAGCAATAAGAACTCTGCTTTTTCCTCACTACAGTCCTCGTTTAGCGACTGCCTCATTTAGCAACATTTATTAGCTGTTATACTAGAATTTGACATCTGGGCAAAACAATGATTGTTTTCAAAGCAATAAGAACTCTGCTTTTTCCTCACTACAGTCCTCGTTTAGCGACTGCCTCATTTAGCAACTGTTCACAGCTATGACATGGTGAAAAAGTAATGTTGTGATCAATCTTTGCATTTACTACCTTCACAGGTCTGTAAAGCAAAGGAAAGGTGAAGCAAGCTCATAAGTACAGTCATGGTT